GAGCGGTCCTAGTAGTCAGAAACTTGGACAGCATTATCCGGTGTCTGCCAAGCCCAGGTCTCGTGCACCACAATATGGCCGAGTACGAAGCCTGCATCTTAGGGCTCAAGATGGCCATTCACATGAACATCCAAGAGTTGCTAGTAATTGGGGACTCATACCTACTCATACATTAGGTACGAGGAGAATGGGCGACCAAGAATTCCAAGATACTCCCTTATCTGCACCATGTACAGGAGTTGAGAAAGAGGTTCATGCTTAGGTTGAATCCTTCTTCTTCTTTTATTCAGCTAGTCTTTCGCTGTAGTACTTAAGGGAGATCCTCTGACTCCTATAAAGCTGCTAGCTGATTACGTGGTATACCCGAAGGAATTTTTGATGTACTTACTAGCCTATAATTATCCTTAGTTACCTACATCCGCGCCCTTGGGCTCGTAGGGTTGACTTCTGAACTTAAATTTTTGCAATCTCCCTGGTGGCACTTTCTTTTATCTCTGTAACACTTATACGGTATTTTTAACTATCCCAAAATTCTATCCAAATATTTCTCAAGGATCACGATGTCATTATATTTGCAAGACCGAATTCACTATGTTGGGGTTCACTACGTTTACCTTGCACAATCTGCATGATTTGTCTGTATCCTCTTGTCTAGCCATAACTAGGTTCTTTCCAAATCAACTACTAACTACTCGTTGGTCCATTCTCATATCTATATTCCACATAATCTCTCTTGAGTTATTTTCTTTGTCTTAACTTACCACTCGTGCTGGCTCCTTATATATCTAGTGTTCATTCGCACTTATTTATCAATAACATCCTGGCCGGGAACTTTTATTGCCTCTCCCCGGTGTCGTGCTTGTATAATGTTCTGGAGTCGCAACATATCTGTAGGAACTGAATAAATGCAACATCATCCCTTTCTCCTTTTTACCACAGTCTTCCTTTACCATTCCATAGTTAACTGAACCGCTTAACTCTGACTTAATACCATATCACACCATCTTCCCCCTTTAGGAGAGTACTAAGACTTAGTGCCACTAAGACTTTAGGAGAGTACTAAGACTTAGGAGAGTAATAAATGCAACATCATCCCTTTCTCCTTTTTACCATAGATGTTTTACCTCTTCATTTTTGGCGTTTTTTCACATCATCAAT